GACCCCCGCCCTTCACTGCCAATCTCGAACATCGGATGTGCCAGTGGTTTCGCTAGCCTGATACTTGGACCCCCTGCCAAGGACGGCCGCACCTTCCGAGAAGGAAGCCCGAAACCAAGCCCCGTTCCCCGCAAGTAGTCTAACCCAGAATGTGGTGAACACCAACGCCAAAGCGCAACAGCCAAAGAAGATCATACCGGAGCTTTACTGGGTAGCGTACTGTAGTCTGGTTCGAAATATCAGGGAGATTTGGACACACGGCTCAATATTTCGCGTTGAACCGTTTTATGGCATCTTTTGGGGGTCTTCTTGCGGGACTGTCAAAACCGTTATTTTCTCGATTCGACATCAACATGTTACCTATAGCAGCGCTTGAAGCAAAGGCACTCAGAGCTCAAAAAGTAATGTCTCCGGTCTCCGGTGAAGTGCCTTCCCATACTCGATGATCATGTCCGTTGCTGGAGGCGCTACTGACGTAAACAAATAATCTGAAAGAAAATTTGAGACGCGCTGTGATGGACGAGCTCCTCGAGGGCAGCAACAACGGCAAGTTGATCTGTGGCCAAATTAAGCGAGTCTTGCAGTACTGTGGTTGCTCGCACAGCAAATGACATCGAATCATCTTCTACCCCAAGGGTTGTCTGTCGGCCACTCCCTTAGCATCGCTGCATCATTCTGACGCATTTTGATTAGCATCCATGCACTATAGGGCGTGTACAACCAATTTTTTCATTTTTCGGTGTTTCCAAATCTCCCTTCTATTTCGGACCAGACGGTAGAAGTTAATGACCCCCTAGAACGAGTCTGAATACAATACGCGGCGCGAATTTCTCATGACGACACGCTAACCTATAGTTCAGCGCGTGTGCAACTCTTGGGGGCCTTGAAAAGCATGTATCGTGCTGCGTGTCTCGGAATATAACATGACGATTGTGGAGACCACGTGGCGCCCCTCGTGTGTCTTCCTTTCACAAGGCTATTCTTGAAGTAACCCCCCCTGGGGGCTGTGGGGTTTCTTGTTCGTGTGCGATCAGCACTAGATTTTTCGTCGCCTCCCCAGCAAGTTTTGCTGTCGTCTTCTTTTTGATCCCATCGCCGTGCGAACTCCCGGCCGCCCTCCTGCTATCTTGACAAATGGGGTAGTCTCTTGCCGTTAATATGGTACATGTCACAAAGTTGAGTCAGTGCACGCTGCCGGCAAACGCTTTCAGGCATTGGAGAGTTTTTTTCTGCAAGCTGGACGCGCGAACGCGCACCTACTCGGCGGACCGCCAACTAGTAGGCCGGGTAGCTTTGCGCGTTGTCCCCCTCCCCCCCCCCCCCCCCCCCCCCCCCCCCCCCCCCCACCCCCC